GGGAAGGGCGGAAGCGGCCCCGGGCCCGGCTTCACTCACCCCACGGCGTTGAACCGGGCCCTCCCGTTACCGTTGAGCGGGTTCGGAAGAGCCCGCCACCGGAGTCACGTGACCAGAAGGGGGCGGGGCCTGGGCGCGTCAAGCTCCGCCCCTTTCCCCGGGCCCGGCTTCACTCACCCCACGGCGTTGAACCGGGCCCTCCCGTTACCGTTGAGCGGGTTCGGAAGAGCCCGCCACCGGAGTCACGTGACCAGAAGGGGGCGGGGCCTGGGCGCGTCAAGCTCCGCCCCTTTCCCCGAGCGCGCGCCTCCGCGCGCGCTCGGGGAAGGGGCGGGGCTTGACGCGCCTTAAAGGGACCGCCAGGATTTTTGCGTTTCTATAAGCCATTTATTAATTTATTAATAAATTTATTTATTCCCTCTCCCCCCATAAACATGCCACAGGTTGGATGTGGTGGACACGCTCCTGGAATTCGTGGATGATCTCCGAATTAACAAGAACTTAAATGTAATAAAATGTAATAAATGTAATAAAACAATGTGCTCTAGTCATTAATTAATCATTAAAGCAAGCTGTGGTCACAGCAACATCCCAGCGGTGTTATTAAGCAAACAGCTGGAATTGTATGACCAGATGGGAAATAAGAAGCATCATCCATAGACTTTTTTTTTTTTTCCCTAAAATTGTAAATTAATTCTGTAATTAATTTCTTCTCCCTTACCTTCTCCCCCATCCTTAAGAGCGATAACACCCTCAGTCCTGCTCCGATGGGGGCTTTCGCCCTGAACCCCAGGGGATCATCGAGGAAAATGAGAGTTCTCTAATATTGTATAATATCCAGCTCTATGATTGAGCAACGAGTTGTGACAAGCTTTAGGAATGGCATTCGCATCCCAATTTGGCTTGCAAAATAATATAGTTTCTCTAAATATGTTCTCTCTATGAAGATTTCAACAGTTATCCATTGAGTATGTGTATATATATATCTCTATCTCGAGGTGACAGATGTTACCATCTTTAGTCCTAATGCCCTGAAAAGAGTTTAGATAAGAGTGTCAAGTGCAAATATAAATTAAAAAAAAATAAAACTGGAATTGCTCAATTTCTGCCAAATCCTCTTTTTCCACTGCAAAAACACAGGGCTTTGCATCATCTGCTGCTTTGATTCAATGGCCAATAATAAATGCTTCCAAAACCTCCCCTTGGGCTAGTGAATTTCAAACTCTGGCAGCGATCACACCCTTCAGCTGTAAATATTGGCAATGAAACCCAAACCAGGGAAAGGGAGAAGCTGGAGTGGGATGAGGCTCCTTGAGTTCTGCTGCAGGACCCTCTGCTGCCTGGGGACACGGGGACAGCGGGCTCAGCACCTTGACAAGGAATTCTGGGTTTAATACCCCAGTCAGTTGCAGCTTAGGCACTATTTTCCTACTAAAATAATAATAAATAAATCTGCAAAACAGTCAGTTGCAGCTTAGGCACTATTTTCCTAAAATAATAATAAATAAATCTGCAAAAGCCAGGCCACGAAAGCTAACACTTGGAAACACAAGGGAAAAACCAAACCCAAACCCAACCCAACCAACCCAAACAAGTTCATCGTATGAAACGTCCTCCCAAAGCACCCACAAAATTATTTCAATAGGATTAAGCACATTTTCAGTCACAAGATTAACCAGCGCCGCCAAAAATCACAACTTGAAGAAAGAAGAGATAAAATTATAATTCAAAAGTTTAATGAACTTCTACCTTCAAACTGAAGGAAAATGTGTAAAAAGACACAAACATTTATAAACACAAACACAGGAAAACGCCTTGAAATTCAACATATTTTACAGAGATCCAGAGATCTGCCTCTGGACGGGAGAGCTGAGATGGTCCCGGGGGCACCTCCCCGTGACCAGGGTAACATCAGCTCCCACAGCCCAACACCGAAATATACAAAATATGTACAAAAAATTGGGCTACTCCCACGTTATTAGACACCCCCTGAAGTTAATTAGCTCCATCTCCTCCCGGCCATCCTCGGGCATCACTGCCTCCATGGACCAGTGCCACCAGATGGGCTGAACTGGTCAGAGACAGCAGGTACCAGAGCAAAGTCCCAGTGGGAGGAGACCCCACCAATGGAGTCTTCTGCTCCACAAAGTCCATGGTGGAGGGCAGAGGGGGGTTTAGTCTTCATGAGAAAAGCATTTCTGACTTTGGCCACCTGGCTAATTACCAGGGCTTATCTGCTTAATGGGTTTCTGGGGTTTTGGGAGAGGTTGGTCAAAACTCAAACGTGATGCCATCTGGGAAAACGCTACGAAGTAGTGAAATAACAAAAGGGAAAAGTCAATTCCAGCGGCGTTGATTTCGAAAAAATACACATCATGGTTTTAAACAAAGAGCTCTGTAAATCAACCCAGGACAAAAGGAAGGTGTTACGGCAGGGGAATATCCACACTAGGCCAAGACTATACACACACAAGGAGGCAAAAGACCTGACTGCAAGAAGATAAAAGGCAGATTGGATAAATCCAAACCATAAGAAATTCTTCCTTCTCCTTTTTAGAGACCTCCGCTTTTATAAATGCTTGTGGCCTACACCAAGCACCCTTTGGGTGCTTGGTGTAGGCCACAAGCATTTATAAAAGCGGAGGTCTCTAAAGGCATTAGAGATTACCATCACTCCTCTTCTGGTGAGAGACACCTTGAATTCTCATGAGACTAAAATCCAGGAGCATCCAGTCCTGTTTCTTCAGTCCCTGCCCGTGAGGTCTGGAAACTCATCTGGGATCTGGTGACTCATCTGGGATCCTGCAGCAGGTTTTGATGGATGGAGCTGACAATCCTCCGCAGGTAATGGTAACCGACGGGGACTTGGGAGAGAACAGTGGAGATTTCCTCCTCCCTGGGAATGATAAAATTATCACCCGTGTTGGAGAGGACATGGAACATTTAGTTCCCCGTCCCTGGCTTTGAAGGTCGTGCAGAGGGGGTTCTGTCCAAGTTGGAGAGGACATGGAACATTTAGTTCCCCTTTCCCTGGCTTTGAAAGTCGTGCGGAGGGGGTTCTGTCCAACTCAGAATCACGGAATCGTAGTGGTTGGAAGGGACCTCAGAGATCGAGTCCAACCACAAAAAAAAACCAATAAAACCCAAAAAACCAGAAAACCAAAACCAAAAACAAACACAAAAACAAAACAAAACAAAAAAACCACCCACCACCTAAACACACAACAACAACAACCAAACCAAAAGCCATCACCCACCCACACAGCATCCCACCACAAACCAATCATCTTGGGCACCAGAGCATGCCCTGAAGAGCCATGTCTACACGTGTCTTAAATCCCTCCAGGGATGGTGACTCCACCACCTCCCTGGGCAGGCTGTTCCAACTCACCCCAGGTTCCCAATGAGCTTTCGGGCGGTGCAGGGCAGGGGAGCAGAGGGGTAGTTGGGAGATAGATCCAGGGTCAGTTCAAACTTGGCAAAGGCCGTGGAAGAGGAGAACAAAAGCTTCACTCTGTATGAGTAATAAACACAAAGATCAATACAAAATATTCACACTTATTGCTACAGCCTTGGAATTAGCTTCCAGAACTGAAAACAAACGTTGGAATTGATGGGACAAGCTCAATTCCAGAAGGTGGAGGGAGGTCATTCTCCCCCTCTACTCTGCACTGGTGAGGCCACAACTGGAATACTGCATCTAGTTCTGGGCTCCCCAGTTCAAGGATATGTTCCAAAGTCAGGAAGTAGTATGAGAAAATGAAAACTAAAGAAAATAAACTTTAGTTTAAGTGCATTTGTCCTTCAACGACTGATTCTGCTTGGCTGAAACAAGTAGAAAGAAAAAAAGCACTAAGATCCAGTTAAACTCTTGGCTCTGTTTCCTTTGCATTGCTATCCTCCGGTCTAAAGTTTTAAGTGAGAGACTCAAGTGGAGCAGGGAAGCAACAGGGAAGGAGAGGTTATACGGAGAGGTTATATGGTAGTATGGAAATTGGCTGAATTCAGGAACAGCTTAATTTCCATGCATTTGAATATTATAGTCCAACTGTACTAAAATAAATTAGATTGTTGTTAAAAATTGTGGCATAAAATCTCAATTTCAAGCAAACCGAATTGAAAATGCTTCAGTGTTTGGTTCCTGATTTTCTAGAGACACTCTCTGAAGGAGTGCTGCAAACCCCACCTGAAGTTACTTACTTTGTGTCATTGACCTCCGTCTTCAGAAGATTAAATTTTCCACCCCATCTCTCCAGGAATTCAATCTCCTCTCCCAAGACCTTGCAACGACTCACCACCAGAGAGACGTCATGGAGAACCTGAGTGGGCAATCAGAAAAGCAATCCCATTGGCGCTCGGGCTGGTAAACTATGTGACACCTGAAAATGCAGTTTATCCTAGAAATTATATCAAAACCCCATGCATTGTAACTGCCAGCTCAGTTTGGGTGTGAAAATGAAACTGCACAGCCAGAACAACTAATATACATTCTTTGCCCTAAGTTTCTCCCTTCAGCTCTGTGAGCAGGGATACACAGAGTCCTCTCCAGGGACACCAAGGCTGGCTTGGTGATTTAAACCAGTAATTCTTCAGGAAGCAGAATGGCATTCAGCTCAATTCTTTAATTTCTCCTAGCAGAAAAAGAAAGGATTTTTAAAAAAATCACTAAGGCAGACATTAATGCAGCAAACAAGGAAGAAATCATAGGTTTTAGGACTCTTGCCTTCAGGGACAGGTTCTTCCCCTGCATCTCAGAATGCTCAAGGGCAGGTTTTGATCTGCACTGATGAAGCATTCATTAAGATGCTTTTGTTCTCGGTACCAGCCCTATTCTCTGTGACAGAAAAGATTTGAGAAAAGATGTTTTTCCAGAGCTGGGACATTACCTGGGTCAAGTAACACAGCGTGGGACACTTCTCCTGCCAGCATCCTTGACTTTCAATAAACTGGAAGATAAGTCTTTGGACTAAACATGAGGAGGGAGGAGCTTTTTCCTCTGTAACCCAAAAGAAAAACACGTTGCCAGGAATCTTTCAAAAGCCACATGGCAATACATGAGCAGATAACCCACAAATTTACAGGTGCCTTCCCAAGGACAGGTGATCAGGGCAGCTACTTTCAAGCTACTTGAAAAATCTTACCATCCAAGAGAGATTCAAAGCTCAGGCTCACTATCGTTCGGGAAGGATCTTCCCCAAAAACATCACCATCTGAGAAGGAAAAAAAAAACCCCAAAGAATAATTATTTCCATACTTAGTTCTGCAGTTGCACCTCTTCCTCTTCAGAAACAGCCATTTATTACACGCTTTTTTTTGAATTTTCACAGAAAGCATTGATAAACACAAAGCCACCTCTCTCAGCTTACACGCGCCTGCTGTTGTGTGTTTTCCATTTCCTTTTAGCAAATCTTCACAAATATAGAAACTTTAGGTTTCTATTATGTAACTATTTAACCTTTCAAATTCATAAAAAACAGCAACCTACCAATATTGTCCCTTACCTATTGGGGGTCCAAACACAACTGTGAGTTCAACAGCATCATACAGAAAACTGAAGACCGCTTGCTGTTCGCTCCACTCGGTGATCTCCCACTCGGTGAAGCTACAATGTGGGGGGAAAAAACACCATCACCCTAAATTTCACCCAACCAAAACAATTATCTGAAGGACAAAGATCAGAGCATTAAGTGGACTTTCAGCTATAACCACTGAATATACCAAGGAAAGTTTCACTTTCCAATGGGATGTCAGATTCTGTTGGCAACGCAGCGTAATACCATTCATTTTACGTAAATGTTCGGTTTGGAGTTGGAGGCGAGTTGGATACAGAAAGACTAAATGTAGAATATCACTGCAGAGTAGTTAATCGAAAAACAATACATCACACCTGGAAGGTGAGGCCCCAGAACTAGCTGATAAAAATAAACCCTGAAGGTTTTTTCCTTACTCGTATGCCTCCACGAGCTCCCGACAGCTTTTCTCTGTTTCCTTCAGCTGCTCCATCTGAACCAGCATTTGCTCATTCTCAGCCTCCAGATCCAACAGCTCCCTGCAAAGAAGCCCACTGTGAGATGCAGCACTCTGGTTACAAACACACCCACCCTCTAAAACCAATGTCCACATGTTATTTAAGCTCTTTAGATCCTGTGTGACATCTCACCTTTCAAGTTCCTCTTCTTGGGCTTTCAGGCTTTTCAATTCTAAGAGAAAGGAAAAAAAAAGCTGTGAGAGGAAGAAGCAGCAGAGAAAGCCTGAACTTACTCTGCACTCACTGAACTCAACAACGTGAAAGAGCTCAACCCAATGGCTGTTCCTGCCACCTGGGTATAGATTCGTGGTCACCACAGGTGAGGAATTACTGAACAAGAAAGTGCTGAACAGGACAGCCAGTGCACACTCTTGAAGTCACACCGTACCAAGCCCAAAACTCCATTTTTCCAGAGGAAAACCAGTCCTTTCCGTATTTTAACATCTGTGTAACTAGCTATATCCAATGTGGAAAAGAAAGCAGTAGTGATTGTATCCATGTCAGAATTAATATATCAGAATTTAAAAACCAAAAGTGCTGTTCAGCTGGTACACTACCTTTCCCCAGGTTTTTCCCTTCTGTTTCATCATCGCAGTCCGATTCCCATTCTTCCCAGTCTGAATCTGTGGGAAAGAAGCATTAGATCTCTGCAGAACTTCTAGATTCAATGCTTAGATTCCACTTTATATATTTCTATAAATCTTAGTATTTCAAAACTAACTTAGAAAAATGTACCAAAAGCTGGAAGCCTACCAAAACCCTCAAAAAGTAAGAGATAACAAGGAAAACTCCTTTTATTGCATTGTTGCAAAGCTGTTACTGTGCAACTGATTTCTACTCAAGGCATTGGAAGAAAATTTATTGGAAAAAAATACAGATATGCATCGATACGCAACAATACTGTCACCAGTTTGGAAACACACACCTGCTTCCAGAGCAACAAGACAGCTCTCAGCCTCCTTGATCAACTCATCCACCTTTTCCATTCGTGACTGTAGCTGTTCATGTTGTTCCTAAGATGGAAAAATTGTAAGTCAATAGCATTTTTTAAAAAGCTGAATTGTCTTTCTGGGACCACCACGTGGACCTGTGCTTGCTGAGAAGCTAATGAAGCTGCTGAGGTACTCTGTCGTTAGAGAGAAGAGGCAGACTGACAAACACTAAGGCAGTAGCCAGGTGTAAGGAAGTATTAGATAATTAGCAATGTGTCTTTAGGAAAGACTTTTCTCATCAAGGCGTAAGACATGGAAATAAATACATTCATAGAGCTTTTAACATGTACAGATTTCTGATCCCTAGCACAGTGCATTGCTTCTGCATTTCCTTGATAGTTACTAATAGTGACATTCCAACAGTATAAAGAGCTAATTTCTGATGACATTTCCTTTAATACTCCCATTTTTCACTCTGTTACTTTAACTGCCAAAACTCTTAGGCCAATGGTTACTACAGTGTAAGTGCAAGAAACTCACTGTCCCAATGGGTTTTACATTTGTATAGAAATAAAAGGGGGGTATGTTTAATAAGAAGGAAACTTTCAGGAGAATGCACATTTACATACCATAATTTATGCTCCTAAACTTGACAGCCAAAGCCAGAGGAAGCTGGCAGAGGTTAAAGCTAACCCCCCTTACCTGTGCGCTCTGCAGCAGTTTGCTGTACAGCGTCTCCTTCTCCTTGTGAGCCAAGATTTTGCTCTCCTTGGTGAAATAGGATTTCATCTTGTTCAATTCTGCTCCAAAGCTCTTCAGCTGCAATGGAGGGTAAATGCAGAAGAGAGTGTGAATGGGACCACGCAACAAAAGATTGTTTGATTGACCCTTTGGACTCTTTCTCCCTTCTCTTCCCCCCGCGATATCCCATTTCTCTACATGACACTTGCAAAATAAATCAAATTTAAGGCTGGACAATCCCTGTCAATTCAAGCACAGTCGCCTACTAAGTAACTCATTTCCTTCGCAAAGATCCAACAAGATCTTTACTCAAAGAGGGAGCTGCACAAACAACTAAAGAGATGCTTTTCCCAAAACCCAGAGCACTTCATGAAATACAAGGGCTGTCTCCCAGCCCGGTTGTTTGAGCCATGGATTGAGGAGCCCAACTGGAAGGCTCACAGACCTCCGGGCAGGACCCACACCACAGAAAGGAAATCTAAACCCTGTTTTAACAGCAGGTAGTGACAGATCACACAGCTCTGGGTTTCTCTGAGAGCTGTCAAGCCAGAAGCTGCAGAGGAATGTACAAAAAGCTTTTTTCTCCCATATTTGCCATCTGCCTGTTTCCACTGGGTGGTACTGTTCCAGCTGCAGGGGGTAGAGATTTGCTGAATAAGCTTTCACACGTGGTATTCTTAGCTAAGGGTTCTAGGTGCTTTCACTGCTCCCAAGTGCAATTCTTCCCAGATCTAGTTAATGACCTATGTTGAGATTTTATATTCATTGAATAATCCTTACTCTTGGCATTAGTACTACAGAAAACAGAATCTCTTTATCTACATCTCAGCTCTGGCTCGGATACTTTTATAATGCTTCTGGGCTTTAAATGCAAATGTCTTTGCCATACTTTTCTGTGCCCATAGTCATTAGCATTCTCCTTTAAATACCCTCCGGCTCCAGCTTTTGCTTTGGCGTGTGACAACATTATTGCACTCCAAATCCCTGAGGCAGTTTTATTTTCTGTTCATTTTACACCTTGCAACATCCCGTGTCTCTCTGAACTAAATCAGCCTTTCAGTTAACGGCCAGTTCTGCTGCACCAACGGAGCCAGAGTCTCTACAGCAAGAGCAGTTCACTTTTTCCTTCCACAGTTGCACTGTTTGCTTAGGGCCCTCTGAGTTTCTCTTTTCTGCCCTCAACTAACCTGAATTATCAAGTTTTTCTGTTTTATTGCAACATATTCTCTTTAACATATTTAAAGGGCACATATCCTTGTGCTCTCCTGCCATAGGAGAAGTTCTCATAGCATTCCACGCTCATTTCCAGTCAGAAAATATTTTGCCTTGTATCACCCACCTGCTCAGTGTTACTCCATGACCCTTTTGGTTCCTATTTTATTTCAATACAAAAATTAACCTCACTTCTTCATCATGTAAGAAATAACATTATCTCTCCGTGCAGTATTACCTCTTCGTCAGAGCAGGTTCTCATGACCTCCCACAAACCCTTATTCACATTCACCAGGAGTTCATCTTGGAGATTTACTTCTCTTTTCTGCCCTCAACTAACCTGAATTATCAAGTTTTTCTGTTTATATTTAAAGGGCACATATCCTTGTGCTCTCCTGCCATAGGAGAAGTTCTCATAGCATTCCACGCTCATTTCCAGTCAGAAAATATTTTGCCTTGTATCACCCACCTGCTCAGTGTTACTCTGTGACCCTTTTGGTTCCTATTTTATTTCAATACAAAAATTAACCTCACTTCTTCATCATGTAAGAAATAACATTATCTCTCCGTGCAGTATTACCTCTTCATCAGAGCAGGTTCTCATGACTTCCCACAAACCCTTATTCACATTCACCAGGAGTTCATCTTGGAGATTTACATACTCTTTTAACCTGAAACGTGGAAAAACATTGAAAGTCTTGTTGCAACTCCACTGAGCTCATAAAGGAGCACGTCGGTATTTACACAGTTCATTCCCTTTTCTAATTAAAACACGGAAAAGTAAATATTTTCCTTTAGTTGGGTCTTACATCTTGGGGACACCCTCTAGAGCCTTGATTAAATGTTTGGTAAACTTTAGCACATAATATAAAGTTCATTTCCTGTAGTCTTTGCGCTGAGGGCAGGGCTGAAGGAGGTGGGGAGGCAGAGAGCCACAGAAATGGAAAGGGGTGCTAATGAGGCTGGGAAAAATCTTACTGCCAATTTTGGATTTCATCATAAAACTTGTTTCTGCACATAAATTGTAGAAGGCACAATGAATCAGACCAGAAGTGACCTTCAGGTGAGAAAATAAATCACGTAACCGTATTTCAATCTAATAAATGCTGGAAGATGGGAATAAACAACAGATTGTAACCTGTTACAGTTCTGCTTTCTATGTTTGATCATTTTTGATACAATTTAAAAAACTGTACTCTAACGCTTCTGATCTGCGATGGAAACACTGATAAATGCTGGAAGATGGGAATAAACAACAGATTGTAACCTGTTACAGTTCTACTCTAACTCTTCTGATCCGCAATGGAAACACTATTAGTAAAAGATAAATTGCTTGAGGAAAATCAAACTTTAATTATCTCTATAACCACAACTCCTCCCCAAGAGTTACCCCTTTACCATCTAAACCTGCAATGAGCTGGCTGCCCACATGCAGTACCTTAACTATGGTTTTTTATTGTCCCCATGTGTGACGTATGAACCTTCTTCAGGGCACTTTGTGGGCAACCAGAGCTGAAAAGATAAAGTTACTGCTCTACTCTGGGACTGAAAAACCACTTACTCATCTATCTTTTGAGACAGGGCCTGGCAATCCTCTTCATAGACCCGCAGCTTGGGGCGGTAAATGTACTGGCTGTAAAGGAGGTCTTCTGGGGTGGGTGGGGAGCTGACTGCACACTGGGGAAAACGGGGGAAAACATTGAAGGAAACGAAAAAAGATGCATACTTTTCAGAAACAGTAACTTCCAGTCAAATCATGTACAGAAACCAGTAAACGGTCCGGAAGCTTTATTTTTGCAGAACAGAAACATAACAAGATGATTGCAAAGTAAGATGATTGCCTTGCTGGTAGTAACTGGTGCTGACCCAGGGGTACTTGTCTGCATGCAAAAAAATAGTTCCTGTGTCTGCAAGAATTCAGCAGAAACCTTTCAGGATCAGGAAACTGAACCTGGGTTCAGGCAGGACAGACTCAAGGGGCAGAAATAAAGAGTAGGGATGTCCTGGTGAAGCACTGAAGAAGAATAGAGTAGAACAGGGAGCAGGAGGCAGAGTAGCATTTCAGGGTCCTGGTTTCAGTGGCTGACATAGTAAGAAGATAAAATGAGAAGGTTAGATTGGGCTTCTAATTCTTGCTTTCAAAATGATTATCCTTAAAACAAGTTGAAAAAAACCAAGAAGAACAGATAATCCTGAACATAAGGTATTTTGTAAACAGATTGAAATCTGTTCTGTTTTTCAGTACTGGGGAAAAGAAGCATCAGACTCATAGATGTGAAGAAGCAAAGAGAGAAGAGGCAGCACGGGCTGTCTGACACTTGGCAAGGTGGAACTGACTCTGGCTTAGCTCAGTTAAAGGACCAGTTACTTGAGAAAAATAAAAAAAAACAAAAACCCAAACCAACCACAGCCCAAAAGCAACAAAGGACTGTGATTTAAGGTCAGTTCTATTATGCATCTCAAAGGACAGACACTCACGTTGGCTGGGACGTGGCTGCGCCGGGGCTTCTGAATGGGAACATGGACTTGAAGAAGCGTAAAAAACTCCCCAACCGTGATAACGCCGTTCTGGAATTTCTGTAAAGATTAGGAAAATCGTAGAGATAAGTACATTTCTCAAGCAAGAATGCCTGCTTGCATATATGCACACAAGTATTTTCTCGCATGGAGAAGAAGTTAGCACCTTTCAGCCCGTCACGTACCTCCCGTAGGTTGTCTTCACAGATGCTGTCTGTGAGAAGCAGAGACTCCATCTGGCTGCTCCGCTGAACTGGCCAGGGAAAAGGGGGATATTGCTGGGGTTAATGACATTCGTACAGAAATATGAACTTAAGTTCATTAGCTCTAGGAAAAAAAGCAATTTTAATGTAAAGTTTGAATTTTCTGTGTGTTTCCAGTGCTGAATGAAGTAACTGAGGAAACATCTACTTGGGACAAATAAGGAGCACTAGATTTAGACTCTGATGTAAAATAACCTCTGTGGCAGGGCAGGAGTGGGATGTCAGAGATCTCTGTGGGAGGAAAGCCATATGGCACTTACTAAAAAGTAGTACAACTGAGAAAGAGACTCCAGCCCGTTCTCAGAGGGCATCCCACGCAGACAGAGCCCAAGCTTTCGGGGTGAAAACAGGGCATTGGAGTTCTGAGCCAACGAGGGCATGGTCCTCGCTCAAAGGAAGGGGCCCAGGTGTTACTGGGTGAGGCATATGCTTCCACAGTCACAGAAGGCCAAAATTGGAACTGGTTTTGTAAATAGAGGCAAGATATCACTTCTCAGATGATTGGCAGATTTCTGCCTTATTGCTAGGCATCAGCTAATTAGCAAGAGCTAATTAAACCTGGGGGCTAAATCTGCTTAGAGCCTGTCCCTCCAATACGCCCTGAGGAGCCTTCTTCCAAGAGCATCGTGCTGAGACACACAGAGTGTTTCTGCACGGAACCAGCTTAAAATCACCCATGGGCCAGCAGAGTTTGAGATGGGGCATTAAACCACCTCCTCAGCCCAACCTGCCCTGGGAAACAAAGTGGACTTAAACTCTGCTCCTTTTTCTTCCCATCTCAGTTTTCCTTGAAGGGCTTAGACTCCCAGCCAGCAGGTAAAAGCACTGGGGGCTGGGTGGGAAGCTGTGATACAGGCACTCAAGGCCTTTCCCAAATGAAATATATTCTACAGGCAGGGCTCTTCTTTGATTAAGAGTAAAGAATACGAGGTTTGAGGCTGCTCCCACAAAGGAAGTCTTACTTGTGAATTCTGTGTCAGGCTTCACGGAGTCCAGAGAGCTGCTGGTGCTGGCATGAGTGCAGTCAGGGCTTTTTGCTGACACATTTGGAGGGTCCTCACCTCCCCGAACTTCTGCTTGGCTTTGAGACACAGCCCCAAAGGTAACCTAATATTAGCAAGTTTAAAAAGAAGGAAATGTTAAAAGAGCTCTATGAAACAATACAGGAGTTAAGCTCATCAGTAGCTGATTGTAGCTGTTTCTTGACATTCACAATTGGTTTATTTTCAGTACCGGCACGTTTTACATCTATCTTCACGACAATCACGGAGTCCAGAGAGCTGCTGGTGCTGGCCTGAGTGCAGTCAGGGCTCTTTGCTGACACATTTGGGGGGTCCTCACCTTCCCGAACTTCTGCTTGGCTTTGAGACACAGCCCCAAAGGTAACCTAATATTAGCAAGTTTAAAAAGAAGGAAATGTTAAAAGAGCTCTATGAAACAATACAGGAGTTAAGCTCATCAGTAGCTTATTGTAGCTGTTTCTTGACATTCACAATTGGTTTATTTTACATCTATCTTCATGACAGTCCTCACCTCCCCGAACTTCTGCTTGGCTTTGAGACACAGCCCCAAAGGTAACCTAATATTAGCAAGTTTAAAAAGAAGGAAATGTTAAAAGAGCTCTATGAAACAATACAGGAGTTAAGCTCATCAGTAGCTTATTGTAGCTGTTTCTTGACATTCACAATTGGTTTATTTTACATCTATCTTCATGACAGACCAGCCTTTGCCTATGATGACATACAGGAAGCAAAGCTGCAAAATCCTTCATTCATTTCTCAAAGCAGTGGCCACCACAGCACACTCTTCCCGCTTCTAGAACTAGGAAGTTTTGACTGCTGATGTACAAACAGGCTTTTAAGGTCGGATTAATGTTTGAACAGATTTTCTTGATTCAGCTGCAATTTATGCTGTCTATAAAAAAGCTAATTTAAACTAAACATCCATGTTTGGATTTTAAATAATTGCTTTAGGCTTTACTCATCGTACCTAAGCAACACCTAGAAAATAGTCTAGTTCAGAGGAGTAGGAGGAGTCAGTGGAGAAAGGGCTAAAAGGATACTTTGGAGAGAGTGATTTACAATTGACATATCCCTTATCCCTCTGGTTTGTGTGGTTCAGGAAAGTTGGACAGATCAACCCCATTCTTCTATTCTGGCAAAACAATGAAAAATCCAGGGGATGACATAGCAAAACAACAGCAAAGTGGTGGTGAAGAGAACCAAGAAAACCTACCAGAGATCTGCTCACACCCTGACATTAAGCAGAATTCCTGCCTGTTAGTGGTCGCTGTATCCCTATCAAGAGCAATCAGGCTCACCTGCAAATCCCGGGAGGCCTCGCCATCCAATTTTTCATCCCTCTTGACTTTCTTGGCACTTTGAAGATCCTCCTTATCTTCTTCCAAGGCTCTTTTTGTGTTGTTGCAAGTTTTTGTCTCTTCGGATTGATTCTCTTCATTGGGGGAGATTTGGTTTTGGCTTATCTCATCGCAAGCATTTTCCACGAGTTCGGAGCTCACAGATTCACTGGAATCCATTTCTTCCAGGCAGACGGGAAAAAATTCCTCTGCTATAAACTGGGAAGGGCTGAAGTTCTGCTGACTGGACGTGCTGGTACCGGGGGTTTCAGTCTTTACGCTTCCTTCTGGAACCGGTGCTTCTCCTTTGTCTGCAGATTTTGCATTTATGCTTTGTACACTAGAAACAGAAGGGTTTCTTCTGTTTGGTAATTTAGGCTGGAAGATACCCAGAGGGACATTTAGTCCTTGATATTTATCCGTAAGTGCCATGCTGAAATTTGCATCTATGGGGGCAGCTCCAGATTCAAGACCCGGGTTTTCCTGCTCCTTATTATAAAATAAACCATTTGGTTCATTTACAGTGTTTTTTCCTAACTTCAAGGTATCCTCTGGCTGAATTGATTTGGACAACTGGTCAGGAAAAGCAGTTTCAGAAGCAGAGAGAACTGCGCATTTCTTTCTAATGTTTTTCAGTTTTGAACAAACATTTAAAATACCCGAAATGTCAGGTGCAAGAGCAGGATCCCTTGGACCGTCACTGACCAAAAGCTGCTTAGTTTGTTCAGAGTTTATTTGAAAGTCCTTCCGAGGCGTCTCCCCCTCAGTTGGCGGCCCCTCATTTTCCTTTGGTTTCTTGTTAGGAGCTGGACCAAGGCCTGCTCCAGCCGAGCCTGAATCTGTACCTAAATCTTCACGTTCAGATGAATCACCTTTCAGTACTTTGTTCCCCCGAGTACTATGTGCATCTGGAGAACGCTTCAAAGAATCTGGTTGCTGGATGGGACGTGAAACACCAGATACCAAACCCCCACTTTCTTCACTGCAATCTGTGGGCCCGTTACTCGGAAGCTTGAAAGAGACTCTCTTTGATTCCAGGTTTTCTGTCGGTACAAACCCCTGCTGACTGCTCTCGGGGATGGAATTACCCGGGGGAAGGTTGAGATCCCGTGGTGTCTGCACACCCAGAGTCCCTTCTGGAAGTGACACAGAATGGGCAGGATCTGGTGTTGTGCCAGTGGGGATTTTGCGAGCTCCTTTCTCACTGGGAAGTGCTGGGGCTGATGGAGCAGAAGAGGGAAGGCTGCCCTTACCCTCAGATTGTGTGTGACAGTCAGTGCTCAGGTCTTTTGTATGCGGAGAATCTGGTTCATCTCTGCAAGACAACAACGCACTACGTGAGGCTGGTGGCCGAGTGCTTTTATGTGGCACTTCTTGGTTCTCAAATCCATTAATATTGTTGTTAACAGCAATAGTATGGGATGCAGTTATTTCCATATCATCTTGGTTGTGGGTAAACACAATGGTTTTATCAGGAGGAACTGCAGAAGTGGCAGGAATGGACACTTTGTCCCGTACGTCCACTCCAGCACTTAACACAGCTGTGGGAGTCTGGGTGATCTCCATGTCCTCAGCCAAAGTAAAAATGACAGTTTTGCTCCCTGGGCAGGAGGTGGTTTCAACCTGCTGAGCCAGGTTTAATCTCCCCTCAGAAAAGACTCTTTCAACCTTTTGATCAACAGAGTGAGACTCGGTCATTTCCATGTCAGCCTGGAAACTCGTGAACATGATGGTGGCAGTCCCAGGAAGGGAGTGTGTGGGTTTCCTGCCCGGCCGAGAGTGTTCCTCCAGAGCTGCAGTGTGGGTTCTGGTGATGTCCATGTCATCCCCAGCAAACACCGTAGCTTCGCTGGAGGAAAGTGCTCGCTGTCCAGCCTCCTGAGCCACACCTGGTTTAGCATCACACACACCTTTTGCAGTGATTTTATCAGCAGAGCAAGACTCGGTGATGTCCATGTCAACCTGGCTACTTGTGAAGGGAACAGCTTTAACAGGATGAGCTGAGGAGACAGAACGAAGCCCTCCCTCGTTTTGCGAGACCATTTCCTGGCCTATTGCAGCTGTATGGCTCGCCGTGATCTCCATGTCATTATTCTCATCACTCAGTGAAAATAAAACAGTCTTTTCCCCTGCTGTTCCCTTCAAGCTCTTCCTTCGAGCCCTTTTACCCATGTTAAGCATCCCTTGAGACACAACCTTTTCCATAGATTTATCAATTACAACAGTATCGAGTCTACTTATCTCCATGTCATCGTTGTAGGTAAAAAACCGAGTTTTATCTCCAGAAATTAAGGCTATGTCATCATTTGAACTTCCATGCTGCAAAATTATTTTGTCTGCTGAAACTGTATGACTTCTGGTGATGTCCATGTCAGCGTCTTCTGAAAAGATGGTAGTTTTCTCACCTGTAAAAGGCGGATGTTTTAAACCAGTTGTGGTTAACATTTTCCTGCTGTAAACATCGCGCACAGGCTGCTCCTGGCTATTTGTCACCACGGCCCCCTTTTTAAAGGATGTTCTTTTATTTTCATCTTGAACCTGGTATCCAGGAACTGCTTTTCTTTCTGATAAAGCAGCATCGACGTTGTAATCAGGGGCCAACACTGCACAGTTTCCAGTCAAGTCCATGTTTTCACCCAAGGGAAACACAACTGACTTTTCTAAAAATGAAGGCAAGTGGGAACTTCCCTTCCGCGGGTCAGAGGTGTTGGCTTGAAGGGGCTTCTCAGCCCCCCTCAAGGGCAGGGCAGCACCTGAGCGAGGCGTTTTAAAATCCTTTTCTGAAGAGACTGTTTTACCAACTGAAAAATCTCTCTCAGAACCAACTTGAGTTGGCAATACTTTGTTTCCTACCCTCATAGTATGGCTCTTCTCTTGCCTCTCTGAGGTTTGCCAATCTGCGTTTATTCCTAATGCTGTTCCAAGTTGTTCATTTCCTTTCATTCCAGAGGGAGCGGGCTCATTACTGGAAATAAACGAACCACTTGGAGCCAAAGGAGTAACAGTTTGCTTTTTTGTGTTCGTTTTCAAATCCCCACGTTCTGTTGCTGGAGTCTGACTTGTGGTATCTCCACCAGGGAACGGGAAGGTCTGGCTTTGCAGCTGCCTGGCCATTTCATCATTGTGGTTATCATTATTCTTGTATTCTGGATGCATTTTGGTGATGTCCATGGTTTGATCACCTGAAAACACACCCATTCTGTCATTTGTGCAGGAAACTGAAGCATTTAGGCTTTTCCCCAAAGCCTGTGATGTAGAAACTTTTTGCCTTTGCAAAGACACAACCGCAGAGGTGTCGGGGACAATATTCTCAGGGACTTCTCTCTTTTGCTCTTGCAACGGACGCACGCTCTTTGCACAGGAACTCAGACTGCTTGCCTGAAAGTTTGCTTTTCTGAGCTTCTTATCCACCATTGTCACCCCAAGATCTCTGGTGTTCATTTCTATAGCCTGGCTTCTTTTCATATCCCCAGAGAAACTCATCACCTCAAGATTTTCCTTGTCCACATCTAAAGAATTTGCACCTCCACTGACATTTTTATTCTGGTTGTTTCTTGGAATCATTTTACAATGCGTTTGTTTTGCTTCTGCAGTCGTCCCATTGCTTTGATCATCAATGACAACAGGGTGGCATTTAGTTATTTCCATTTCTTCCTGCTCGTTTACACTGAGAGATGTAGATCTGTTCTGGAGAAAATGAGGTTTGTGGGTGACAGAGGTGAACACTCCAGCAGCAGAGTGGTTTTCAACATTCTTTCCATCATCCTTGAGAACACAGGTTTTAGTCAAGTCCATATCTTCTCCTGAGAATAGCACCGTCTTCTCACCTGGCCGGGAAACATGCGGAGCGTTTGGTGGTCTGTGCTGAAGTCTGCTCTTAGAAGCACCAGCAGACACTGAACTGGTGTGTGAATCCCAACCCACACCCACTGAAGCACTCCTCTGGTCTTGGGTCACCCTTTCCATCCGTTCATCTGAGCCCACAGATAGCTCAAGTGCACTATTTTTGTACGACACAGAAGCTCGATTATCTAAAGGTGTTAAACTCTTTGTAATGTCCCTGTCACCGTGTGCTGGGTGTCTGTTTTCTGTTAGAGAAGGGTTTGTAAGAACTGGCTTTTCAAAAGCTTTATGATGCGAACTGTTTGTTTCTTTGGTGCTGTCACTATAGATGACATCTGTATAATTCCCAGTAATTTCCATGTCATCACATTTAGAAAAAACAACAGTTTTATCACCTCGGAAGACAGTCTCAGAAGAAATGGATCCCGGGATGGCAGACATTCTTCTGGGCTCTTGTTTAACAGTTCGCAGCATTGCAGGGTCTCCTCTGTCTTCAACAGTTCCTGGTTTTTTGTCTGTACAAAGCTGAGGGTCCTGCTGAACAATTAAGTACTGATTAGCTGCCCTCTTTATTTTTGCATTATCTAACTCGGCGGATGGGAAATCCTTGTTGAAGTTCAGACTTTGATTCCCAACGCTGGAGAAGGGAAAAGACATTTTTGCGGTGTGACTGGTGGTCATATCCATTCCATCGTCCACGAACGCCTCGGTAACGTCCCCACACAGAAACTGCTCTGGTGGAGCTTCACAGCCACCAGAAAACACAGCTTTGACATCGGATCCCTGGCATTTTGTCATTTCCATTCCATCCTCTTGTCCTCTGAAGAATTTTGTGACATTGCAGGTGTCCGAGGGCTCACTGGAATGTCCCAATTCCCCTGATGCTCGTGCCGTGTCTTCTGAGACTTGCGATGGGACAAAGAAAACATTCTCTTTTTCAGGTCCCCCAATAGGATCGGGGGCCTTTTCATTTGACTTCAAGCTCATCAAAAATTCGTTGAAATTTATTTTTTTTACAGTAGTCACATCTTCCTTCTGTTCAAAGGATGGGCACGAATGGTTTGTATGGTCGGAGAATAAACCAAATTCTTTGCTTGTTTCTGCCTTTCCATTACTAGAGTTTAACCCAGCCAGAAACGATGTGATATCTATTTTCTCAGTTTTGTCATCTTGATTGTTTTTCAGGTTACGTGCAATCACTGCAGTGTGACTGGCTGTCATATCCATTTCATTTTCCTCCGAAAAGATGAGGGTGGTGTCAGGCCGATCTGTTCTTTGAATGGTGCTGTCCACATCGTGCCACTGAGAAAAAAAAAAAAAGAGGAAGAAATTACAGTCACTGACACACAAAATAAATGAAATAAATGATACAATGGTTTATTCTATTTCAAACAGAAGTCAGATAATGCAGTCCTAAGGTTATAGCTCTATCTTTATACCTTTTTAAAAAAAAAAATTAAAAAATACTGATTTCAGTTCTCCTCAATAAGCAATAACATATTCAAGAAAAGGACAACAACTGAGTTATTAGAGTGTATCATTTTTAAATGGCTTTTTTTGGAAAGAAATTGTCTCAGTTTTACTGTTGGGCAAAGACTTCATACCTAGACATATCTCAGTAAGCACGGAACAATTATGCAACAACCACACCAGATTTTAACTGGTTTGTTCCTAACATTTGTTAAAAAGAGCTAAAATACAGTTTTAAGCTGTACCTTTAAACTCAATGTGAAAGTCAAAAGCCACCAGAGTAAGGGAGACTTTGGGCAATTGCTTTGTTCACCAGCACAGCACCATGAGATCATCACTGAGTGTAACACAGGTCAGGATTTCTGTGCAATTGAGCCTGTGAAGGTCTTTGCTAACAATTCTGTGCTTTATCACTTGATTCAACTCAAGAAATTCAGTTATCTTTTCATGCTAATCACTGCAATTTGTCTAAAGCTCTTTAACAGCAGGAACAGAGAGTAGGTACGTGCATATCGTTCCACCCATGGGAGAAAAAATACACAGGCAGAGAGTAATGTCAGAAAAAATACAAACCCAGAGCTCTCTGAAACATAAGCTCCTTTGCATATTCTTAGACAAGAATTGAAAAGACTGGAGGAAGTAGCTGAGGTACTGAGAAGTTTGCAAGCAATTCTAGAAGCAAGAGTTATCCCTACTGCAGTATAATGCCTACCAGATTAGGACGATACTTCAAAATAGAGAAGATGAGCTTTCGGAAGAATTTTATGTGAATATGAGGATGTGATTTTTAGGCAGCTGAGTTACATTTCTCATCTTTACTACGCAAATTATTGGAATACATTTTGGACACGGATCTTTTCAGCACCAAATAAATAAAAGCCTTCCCATACCTCAGTCTGCTGCACCAATGCCTGGATAGGGGCATGAAGCAAAGTGTCCATCCCTGTGGAAAGAAAAGGAAATACTCCAGTTGTTGTACTACTTTCTTATTGTCTAATCACTGAGCTGAAGATTTATGCACTTGTTTTACAAATACTGCTGAGTAAGTACTATTAAAATCAAATGTATCCTGAAAATATTTCCAGTGCTCCCTTCAGCATGTGGAAGGGCTGCCTGTACTTCTACAATCAATGCCTGCAAACAGCTTTACGGAACGAAGCCCATCCATGCCATAGTCCTTTTGCTCAGGGAGACTCTTCTAAGCACATTAAAATTATTCAATCAGGATCAATAGCTTTGAATAGTCATTTTGTTATTAAATCTATTTCCAGACTCACCAGTGATCTCACACGGAACAGCTTCAGGTTCTTCATTTCTAGAAAAGGCAGGTTAGGGAAAGAGATTGTTAAAAGATTTCAAACAAGGCTTCAGCAATAAACTGAAAAGGCAGAGAATTCTGTTGCAGAGCTCATACAGGCCTGGACAGGGGGTACCAGACACTACTTATGTGCCTTCAATATATTCTAACGTGAGGTGCAATCTTACTTCCCCCTTCCAGTCCCTCCAGGGGCTCCAGGAAAGCTGGGGAGGGACTCTGGATGAGGGAGGGGAGCCCTAGGAGGAGGGGGAAGGGTTTGACCCTGAAAGAGGGGAGATGGAGCTGAGCTGTGGGGAAGAACTTGTTTGGTGTGAGGGTGGTGAGAGCCTGGCCCAGGTTGCCCCGAGAAGCTGTGGCTGCCCCATCCCTGGAGGGGTTCAAGGGCAGGTTGGAGGGGGCTTGGAGCAACCTGGGCTGGTTGGAGGTGTCCCTGCCCAGGGCAGGGGGTGGCATTAGGGGGCCTTTCAGGTCCCTTCTAACCCAAACCATTCTGTGATTCCACAATTCCATGATTAAGAACAGCTAAGGGCTGAGAAAGGTAAGTTGCTTAGGAAATAGTGCATGGGAGTATGAAGGCAGGCTCTTCCCAGGCCAAGAACTCTCAGCTAGAGTCCTGATTGCTATATTTATATGTATGTGCACACATATAACATGCACATACACATTTGGGCTGATAAGTTTAAAAGCATGAGTTAACTACAGTTGAACATAAGCTGGTTTTTTTGCTGTACATTTTAAATGTAAGAAATTCCCCATCACACATAGAAACTGTCTAAATTTGTTATTTTACCTACCAGGTCATGTTAATTTAAAAAATCCCATCATTGTTTTTTATCTAGACAAGAAGTTTAAGGCTAGACCAATACTTCATCTACCTCTGAGGGAAAACATTATAGTAATAAATATCAAAGACTCTGTCTATGAGATATGGACTCTGGTAGGTTTTTCCTGGAAAGCATTCCCAAGCCACTGGCTTTGGAAGGAAGCAGTTTCAACCCATAATTGTTCAGTTTTTCAGAAACTGCTTTTTGTGAGTGACCAACACGAGTATATCCTTTTTCTGTTGTGTCCCTTCTTTCACCAGTCCAAAGCACTGAGCAGTTTTATAAAAAGTCAATATATATGCTGCATTCCTTTGAGGAGCATTATTTTGATGGTTGAACATCATATGAAGAAATGTACTTTCGGGATAGAATTTTATAGCCATGGGAGTTTTTTTCAAACTTACTGATTAAGCAGCACATCATTCCTCGTATCTGCTGCACACTCTAAAAATAGCAAGAAAATCAGGCATTACAACGTGAGAAGCATGATCAAACCAGCAGAGACAAGAGTAAACTCCACAGAAAAGAATGTTCTGAAGTTCTCTCTCTCCATGTGCATTCTTATCGTGGCAAAAACCCAGAGAAGCAAAATACTTGAAAGTGCATTAGCTTTTCAGATTCTTCCTGGGAAATCTTTGAGAGAGCAAACAGGACATTGTGCTCAGCCTCTGTTGATCTAAATCCCCAAGGCAGCCTTTCTTCTAGATGCATTTTGTCTAAGAAAATAACTCCTTTTCTGGGCTACCAGCTCCACAGTACCAGTAACTAATGGGGCTTCAGCCAGTCCCTGACAGACAGCTGACCATGTTGTTCCTCCCCTGACCTCCTAAATTCAGGATAAAATCTTGTTGCTAACAGTCTGGGAATCCCGCCAGGAGAAGAGGAAGGAGTTTTACCTGTACTTTCTCTCTCTGCTGTGTTATTCTTAAGATCTGACTCGAAGACTCTGCAGCTAAGAAAAAAACAAAACAAAACAACGCAGTTTTTTATAAACACTAGACCATCTGTTTTGAAGCAAGGAAACTAACCCAATAAAGTAAAAAAAACACCAACAACCACCAGCCCTAATTTCAATCTTTTCCACGTGGTATGTTCTGAAATGAGATATCAAAAGCCAGAAGCTTACTGAACCCAACCATGTTTTCCAGCAGGAAGATGCCATTAGCATATTTAAGATGGAAATCACAAAAAAAATTAATGGGAAACAAAAATTCCTAATTCTATTAAATTCACTGAATTGGTTTTTTTTCTAGCTAGGAAGTGAAAATGAATAATGGCTCTCTTAGGGCTCAAAATCAGCTCATTATAACAACAATCACCAATTTGCCTTCACTGAATACTCACAAACGTACACAAACAGCAATTTCCGTTGGTACCATATTATTACCCATAACTGGCATTTTACACTTAAATAAGGGACACAGACCTGCATCCTTCAGAGCAAACTTACTTGATGGTGTTTGCAAAGCTGACACGGCGAGAGTTCTTCCTACGTCTTTCTACATTGATGTCCTGACAATAAAGAACACAACACTTGGATATACAGAGAACTGCTCTTACCCCATAAGCCACAATAAGCACAGCTTTTCACAAAACAAAAAAAAATTCCACATCCCTCAAAATAACAATCTATGGCCCCAACAAGTACAACAGGTATTTACCAACATCCTTGAACTACTTTATAGTTTTCCAACTTCTGACATAAAGACACCGCTCTCACAAGAAGCAGGATCTAAAGATCCCTTTGTGAGACCTGCCTGGTTATACAGCAGTTATAAGGCTTTTTGGCTGGCATAGGAGGGAAAATAGATGAAGTTGCTTAGCAAGAGAGCTGCAGGGCTTTTTTTCTTCAGCTTTTCATTAGAAGAGCTGAGCAAAATAGCAATATTGTTTTGTCTTTATAGGAGAAATGGAAGGATTAATGAAAAAGTCACCATTTTCCTATCGAAATGTCTAAATGGTATCACTGACTACCTGCTCGTACTAATGCAATGGAACAATGTGGTATCACACCCCTGCTGTGGTGCCTGCAGTAACCTTCCCAAATAGCTCAGTCTCAGGACAATGCAACACTCATTATTTAAGAAAACACCAAGTATTAACATATCAGGCACTACCCCTTATATGCACGTGACTAACAAAGCCTGTACAATACTTAATGTTTTAAAACTCACATCAGCAACACAAGCAGCCATGAGTGATCCCACACGACTGTATATGACCGTCTCATATTGCTCATTAACAATACCGTCTGTCACTGTTAACAGGTATTAGAGTTCAAATGAAGACTGTGAGCAGCTCTTCATATTCAACAAAGTTTTGAAATAAACGTGTTGTGCATAAATATTTCAGGCTCCTATTTCATATTCTAAAGAAATTATTAGAGGCTTTTTCACTGAAAGCCTTACGTGCTAAAAATGAGGTTTTAAGTTCTGTAAGCAGCAACAGAGAAATCACGTAAGTACATGATGCAAGTACAGCATTAGTCCATGGAGCACACCCTGGGTAAAAAAGGCACTTCAAAAGACATCCCAACTGAACAGGCCTAAGAAACAGCAGACAGCAGAAACTTGAAATATATTCCATATGCATTTCAGGAAGAAAATGTTTCATTTTTAGCTTTTAATTTAAATAAATTGGCAGGGTGATTTCTTTGGATGTAAAACCATCTAACTGACTATACCAGTTTGTACACTGGTGGATCAAACTTCAAGTCAAACAGACTGCAGCAGAAGCAAGTTACGTCTATCAATCTCTGCTTATTCCTCTTTTCTTGAGAGAAGAAATATTCTTGTGTAAAATAGAAGTATAAGAAAAACTCCATAGATTTCTTATAATATTTAGGACTCCAAAAATTATCTTCCTGAGCAGTTATTACAAGAGTTTTTACACCTGCATTATTCTATTGGTACAGTTTAATTAGCAACAAGATGAGGAGCAAACTTAAGATGTTAAGAGCATTAGCAAGAAAAAAACTGAATAAACCTACCTGTGTCAATTCATTCCCATTTCCCAGATCATCAAGAGGATTTCGTGGAGCCTTTAAAATCTAAAAGAAAATATAATAGTTGCGAAGATCAGTTTCAACTCCAAGAACTGATTGCTTGGCTGGATAGAGTTTCTCAGAGCCACCAGTGCCCCAGTCAATCACATCCATCTAATAGGCTCGCCCTTTGCTTTTGGAACGTCTTTCTTCAGCTGGGATGAGGAAACAAGTTCCTCTGTACAGCTGCCCCTTCTCTCTTTCACTCCCTTCCTCCCTCCCTCACAGGGTTTTCTTCTGAGAAATGCCTTAAGTTACTCACAGAGGACAGTCGCTTCCCTTTGATGTGCTCTGTATTATCACTGGAGGGGAAAAAAGGGAAATGGGTATTAGGGCATAAACTTGAACCAAGATGTATTTCTTGAACAGTACTGCTACATGTTTACAGTAAATAAATGGATTTCTCCCTTATTTTTACAAGCATGAAATTAAATAAACAAGCTTGCTTAGAATCAATCATTCATTCCACTACCAGTTCCCAAAACCAAGCTTTAGAACATTCAGCAGATCACCCCCATGGTCACTTGTCTCCAGAGAGTCCAGGGCCACAAGATCTCCTCAGAGCTTTCCTACACACCACCAAAGAAACTCCCTCTTCTTCATCACAACAGGTAACACATTGCATTCCAGAGATGCTGAAGTGCACGCAGGGATTAAGAAAAGTTTTGCCTCTAAATGATATTTATACCACAATAAAATTCTTAGAAGGCTTCAACTTACTTTTCCATGTTAGGGTCTGTGCAAATCTTGTACATTTCTGAAGGACGTGCTTTTCCTGTAACACACAGAACCGAAATCCAAAACTATTAATGAACCTCAGTAAGAAAGTTGCACCCAACCACAACTACGTACTAATCTTAGATGCTATAATTTTTCTCTCCATCTTTCTCTAGTGACAGGGATGCACTGAAGCGTAATAGGCCTCTCAAGCCCCTGTTTTCTATCATATATCCTATTATAAAACAACTGTGCTAGCACTTTGAGTCTCACTGGTCAGGCATCCTTTTATTTAAAGTTAAGATTCTGGTAACTGTTGGAGATAAATGTGCTCAAACCTTATACAATACCAACTTTGCTGGTTTGCTCTGACACAAAAGACAATTTTTCAATAACTGCTTCTCCCCCCACCCCAAGAATATCTTATGTCAGTGCAAACAGCTCCCACCAGCACAGAAAATTACTACACTTATCAAAAGCTGCATAAGGGGATGAAATGAATTAACCCCCACTGAGAGGATGGCAGCACTAACACAGATTCAATGTTACCTAACACTTCTTGTAAACAGCAGCAAAATTCAGGGCTTGGAATACCAGGAATTGGAATTCCTCATAACTTCAGTCTCCCACAGACCTCACAAAAACCACCAAAAAAGTGTATCGCAGATTCAGCACTGTAAGAGCAACACATGCCATTTTCTGTGCTGTTTCCTGGATTTCAGTGATGATCTTTATCTACATCCCTCCTTCAAGAACCCCACAAAGTATACTGATAGGAGAGCTAGGAGCAATCTGACAGCATTTGTCATGTTACTTTATTCTCCCCTGTCTAAACCTCAGCAAACAACGTTGTAAGAGAAACCCTTGCCTAAGCAAGGATCAAGCGATTTGTAAAACTAACAACTTTTACAATTAGCAATAGGTGTGCACAGAACTGCTCAGGTTCTGCGTTTCACAGAATCACAGGATCTCAGGTCTGCAGGGACCTCTGGAGATCACATTGTCCCCCCTCTTTGCTCAAAGCCACAGCAGATTGCTCAGGACAGTGTCCGTTCCGGTTTGGAATATCTGCAGAGAGGAAACCCCCCAGTCTCCCTGGACAACCTGCCCCACCTTCTCTGCCCTTCTCTCCCTCTTTGTCTTTAAATGGAATTTCTTGTATTTCAGTTTCTGGCCGTTGCTTCTTGTCCATCACTAGATAGGTCTGAGAAGAGCCTGGCTCCACTGTCTTGAACCCCTCCTGCCAGGTATTCACACACATTTTCCCCCGTCAGCAACATCCACTGCTGGCCCTTGTCCACCAAGCCAGTTACCTCACTGAAGGTCATTTAAACCACAAATTGGCTCTTATTTTCCAAGCTAAATCAAAGCCTTATGTAGGAAAAAGAAAGCTCTAGATTTTGCAGAATGCTAAATCACATCAAATGCTATTGCATGGTATTAGGATGTTGCTCACAAGGCACAGCAGAGTTTGAATTGTAGGGGAAGGGAAAAGGAAAAACCTTTTGAGAAATATCAGTTTGCTCAAAGATGATGTTTAGGCAGAGCAAGAAAGCAGGATGTGAAACCTTAGCCAACAGATTATTTTTTTTCCTAGCAAATTCCTGTTTGCTTTAACAGCAAAAAGCACTATTTTGAAGACACCATCACATGTGAAGGAATAAAAAATAAGAGCTGGAGAAGTTTTCTGGAAGAACATTGTATTTGTACGCAGAAGCTGACTTGCTGAAATGAATTTTATTAACTTCTTATTTTTGCAGAGTAATTCCTCTCACCAAACCTGCAGCAGGTTTAGGTTAGTACCAGCCAGAAAGGCAGCTGGAGAGGCCTTGGCTTTTGGGGCTGGCAGCTCTGAGGCCACAAAACCTCTGGCATCCCCATGGCTCCCTGACAGCTCCACACATCAGAGCTGCTGCCCTGGGCCAGGCTGAGCACCACACAGACACCACACAGAAGGAGGCCCTGCGTACAGGGGTCTGGAGAGAAGGGAGAGGACAGAGCGTGGCTATCAAAAGCCATGGCTACCAAAAGTCTGCTCTGAGGAGGCCTGTTAATCCCGAATTCACCTCCCAGCCAACATGCTCAGGAGTCAGTCTCTAATCCCTCTTTGAACTTATATACGCACCACTGACATACAAGCATAAGACGGCAAGTTGAAAAGCTCTGTTACTCTGTTCATTAAAAAGAACTTCTTATTAATCCCATATTTGATAAGTAACTCCCAGTTCCATACTGTGAACATGAAGAAATTTTTTTCAATTCATTCCTGATATACAGCTGCCCGCCCAAACCCTCCTCGGAATTTCCCCTCTGTAAGAGTAAGACCCTGTTTACTCTGTTTTTACGATTCCTTTTTGTTCTCTTGCTGTTTCCCTCACGATCCCCCCTGCGGTGTCCTTTACCGCCCTGACAGGGCTGACATCCCCGGCAGCCCCCTCCAGAACCACCCCCAAACGCTAAATTACACCTCACTATCACTTACACCGCCGTTTTCCCAAACGTGAGTTACTTCGCGTGGCTCGGGTTTCCATTTATCCCTCAGTTTATCGGCGATTCCCCTCACGTTTGGAGGCCGTCCCCGCCGAAATCTCCTCAGGCCCGGGCCCTCGAGCCCTCTTCCCGCCTCGCCAGGGAGCGCCCGGCCCGCGATGTAAGGCCTCTCCCCCGCCAGGACCGACCTTCTCCTCCCGCCCTTTCTCAGCCCTCCCCTCACCGCCCGTTGCCCCGCGGGATCCGCCCCACACACCGGCCCTCGCCTCAGCCGCCCCCGCGCTCCGCCGGCCCGGCCTCGTCTCGCCGCCGACCCGTCCGCGGCCGCTCTCACCTGCAGCCCCGGGCAGGGCCCTGCCGCCGGCGGGGCGCTCCCGGCTCCGCTGGGCTCCGCCGCCGCTCCCGTAGGGCCGGGCCGCCGCCGCTCCGCCGTTCAAATCTAACCGCCGCGCGCTGCGCCTGCGCCGCGCGCCAAACCGCCGCCGTGACGCCGCCACAGCGGCCGCCGTACAGCATGGCGCCCCCCAGCGCTCCGTACAACATGGCGGCCTCCGGGCCATCACCCCGTTGCCTGCCATTTCGGTATTCCCCCTCGCCGGCGCGCCCCGCGGCCGCGGCGGTGAGGCCGGAGCGACAGCGGCAGGGCCGCGCAGCGTCGCCCGGTCCCCGTGGGGTGGCCTCGTCCCGCGGTGTGCCGGGGAAGGGCCGAGCCGCCGGCGCCATCTGGCAGAAGGAGCGGCGGGCGGGAGCCGATGCCGGGAGCGGTCGGCGCACCTTCTTATAGGCCGGGAGATGCACCAGGATGCCGTGACGAGGTGGCCGAGTGGTTAAGGCGATGGACTGCTAATCCATTGTGCTCTGCACGCGTGGGTTCGAATCCCATCCTCGTCGGGAAGTTAAACTTTTTCCCCTATTTCATTTTTTTTTCACCCCAGCTCTCAGGGCCCGAGCCGTTCCCTCCCGCCGCATCGCGGCCCCTCGGCTCCGGCGGGCTCCCTCCCTCCCTCCCTCCCGGAGCCCGCGTCCCGTAGCGTGCAGAGAGGCGGACAGGCCGCTCCCGGAGGGTAGGCCCCAGGCGAGGTCTGCACCCTGTGGGGACACCCCTCAGGCTGTCGCCTCCCCGGGGAGATACTTCAACGCTTTCTGGATGAGGAGGAAGCGAAGCGGCTGCCCAGGGCAGCTGAGGTGGTGGCAGAACGGCGTCCCGGGATTCAGGCCTCACAGCCCTGGATCCATGGGGTGGGCCGCCATCCCTCTCCCTGCCTCAGGACGCAGCCACGGCACCGCTGCCAACACACTGCCCCGGGATCCCTCCTTGCAATCCCGACAAAGTGTTGGGGCTGGCCTGGTCCCCAGCGGGACCTTGGGGTAAATATCTGAGCGAGCAGGGGCTGAGGGAGCTCCAGCCAAACCCACTGCCCTGCGTCATGGAAAATTGCATCAGTGTTTGCTTTAGGAAAATAATTCCTGCAGTCGGCCCTGCTTTTCATGAAGTTGTAACGACTTAAGAAGCTTAAACGATTGTATTGAAGAGATAGAGGAAAGCTTTTCCTCTCTGCCTCGTCCATCAATAAGTTAAACTTCTTAAAAGCCTGGATGCAGAAGTTAATGGACCAGCAGCTGCTGGGGGACGGCCCTGTCCTCTCCCTCAGACTCGCCATGGCCGCAGCAAGGGGCCTCGGGCAGCTCCCAGCATCGGCTGCCAGAAGATGCACATCCTCCGGGTCCTTTGCTGGAGCACAGAAAAGTACATCCAAATACAACTGCACTAGAGAAAGGGCTTCATCCAGGACCTACGATTTGTACAGGTAACTTTAAGCCCACAATCACCCCACGTTTACCTCAGAACCAACCTCAGATAGGAATTTCACAGAATCCCATGGGGTTGGAAGGGACCTCTGGAGATCATCTCCTCCAACCCCCTGCCAGAGCAGGGCCACCCAGAGCTGGTCCCATAAGAACTTGTCCAGGTGGGTTTGAATGTCTCCAGAGAAGGAGACTCCACCACCTCTCTGGGCAGCATCTTCCAGGGCTCTGCCACCCTCACAGGAAAGAAGTTCCTCCTCACATTTAGGTGGAATTTCTTATATTCTAGTTCATGCCCATTTCCTCTTGTCCTGTCCCTGGGCTCCACTGGCCCCATCGTCCTGACACCCTCCCTTTAAGTATTTATAGGTGTTGATCAGATCCCCCCTCAGTCTTCTCTAGACTAAAAAGACCCAAGTCCCTCAGCCTTTCACAGCCTTTCATTTATCACAAGGCATCCCTAATAGTAACACTTTCCCCAGTAGCAAAACAGCAAACACCGACTTTCGCAATTTTACAGCAGGTATGGGCTGGACACCAGCTCTGAACTGAAATAAAGCAAAATATGATGCAATTGGTGGCAGGGTCCTTGTGAAATCAACCTCAAATTGTCATTGTTCACAGTACCTTGAAAACAGAAGCCCCAGGGTTTCTTGTCCAGCAAGGTGTGATAACTAAAGTTGTTATGCACAGAAAAAGTTTAAACACAGCTGAGCTCCAGCTCCACGCCAGGCCCTCCAGCCATCCAGTCTCCATCTACTGGCACAAGTCAGTAAAACCCCTTTCAGGTGCTTATTTCTTGCAGAGGAAAAAAAAAAACCAAAAAAACCCCAAAACAAAAAGCAGACAATATAACTTGGGACATCTCAAAGTCTAATTCAGAACTGTTGCCCCTAAAGTACCTTTCCCTTGCATCAAAAGCTACTAGCAGGTGCAGACACCTTTACTTATACACTGAAGGTGCCCAAGTTTCATTTACAGTTACATGAAATATGTATTTGAGTGCATGAAAAATATGGAGGACACGAGCTTTTAGCCTCATGTCTCAAACACAGGGGACCTTTTATCTTCTTCATCTAACAAGCTGCCAGTAGCTCAGTACTAGACCTGCCCTTAATACACGATGGCAGGAAAAACAGAAAATCCAGCGTATGCTTAAATGAGACGTGGCAGGATGGGGAAGAGCAAAGCTCAAGCCTGAGTGAACTTTTATGGAGAGATTCAACACATCAGCTGGATGATCCAAGAGAGAAAGAAACCACTTGGCTACTTTGAGCTACCCCAAGAAGCAAGCACTGGTTTATTCTGTTTATTCTTCACCTTTAAGAAAGGCTTCTTTAATATTTCACAGGTGTAGAAGGCTGTACCTGTGCCCCATGTGGGGATGGGTGTGGAGACAGGGGGGTATAGAGAGACAGCGCTAGAAACAAAGAGCCCTCAAACAGCACTCCCCAGGTACACGTTCCCATTGTCTGCAGCAGTCCCTGGAGCTGGGCGTTACCACCGGGGACACATTCGGAAAAGAGGAAGAAAATAAAATAAAACATAACCTGAGACAGCAGAATTATTATAATAACCCTCCCCGAGGCCAAGAAGCGACCATGTAAACACTGGTGAAAGTAAGAACCTGGAAATGTATTAATATAAAATGTATTTAAAAAAAAATATGTCATCTGGTTCATAAATCAGCTTTTGTTTTTCTTTAAGCTGATTGTCACATTGAAGTGATATTAAAAACAATTCCACACCAATCAGAATCAACCCACCTACAGTATGGTTTAAAAATAATAATTTAGAAAAGAATGAAGTCAGCAGACGGATCTCTGCTTTGGGTTTCTGCTCAAGTCTGAGGATGTTCTCCATGAGGCATAAGGGACAGAGATGGAGATCTCAGAAGATGTTTGTGAGGAGGCAGCAGAAACATCACGGGGGAGAGGGCAGAACAGAAAGGCAAAAAAATCTACTAAATCAGCCTCCTTACAAACCTCATAAAGACAAAACCCAGGGATGAGCACCTCCAAAAATAGGCTCAACATAAAGAGATCCCTCCCTAGAGTCACTAACTTTAAGTCATTATTGGAACCAATGGTGAAAGAGCAATTTTGAAGTCTATCTTGTTGAAAAATGATAAACACCAAATAGACGGGCTCCACAGTGCTCGGATTTTACCTTACGGCATAACATCTCTCGGTGATAACGTCTGGGTTTTAAAATCAGCCTGACCATAAAATACAGTAAGAATCACCGTGACACCCAGCCCACCGGCCCATCACCGCTCCCCCAGCTCTGAGGGTAAGACACAGGAACATCCCCTAGTGTGCCAGAGGAAAAATCACTTGCTGACTTTTAAGAGCACGTACTTAATTATCTGAGTGGATAATTGAGAGCAGACCCAGCGCAGGCTGAGGTGAGAGGCAAAGCTGCCCATGCACAGTGATGTTTGCTGCCCTGAAGAGCTAATTGGAGCATCGTAGCCCCGTCTTCCCGCTGCTCTTCCCCAGTGCCCGTGGGCAGCCAGGACAGTTCTCCGGCCCCAGACAGCCCTTCCCACCCCATCTCCAGCTCATGGGCAGCTTGTCCACCTCAACCACACTAAGAAGTGAACTTTAAGTCTTCACATGAGGTTTTCCTGGCCAGCGATGTCGGTGGGCATCGGAAGCAACTTGCTCATTCCTCCCAGTCCTCCATTGCCCACTCGGGCATCTTGGAGCAATACTCAAACTGGGCCCCCTTGTAGCGCAAGGCGTGCAGGAACATCACCAGCTCCTTGGGAGACGGGTCCCGCCGGGTGATCTTACACTCCATGCATAAAGGGTCCTTCTCTTCTGAACCCTTTTCTCCCATTTGTCCCTCCTGATTCTCACACGAACCCAGTTCTTTATGTTTCTCAAGCGTTTCCAGGTTGCTATCAGAGTTCAGCAGACGGGCTGCGACGTCATTTCCCTCGGGATCTTTGGTGTCCCCCTTGGGATCCTCAGTGTCCCCCTTGGGATCCTCAGTGTCCTCGGCGGGGCAGGAGCTCTCACTTACAGGATCAGCCTGCGCAGACTTTGTGCAGTCACTTGAATCACCACAGTCTGTATTTTCAGCACCGGAGCTCAAGTCCTCCTCCGAAATGCCCAAGACATCCAGGCTCTGTTTGGAACGATGCTCCTCTACCAGCGCCTTCAGGAGTTCTTCGTCCGTTTTATCGATTTTGCCACCTTTTCCCCTGTGGGGGCCCCAGGCTTCCATGTTGTAGATGGGGTCGTTGACTATAGGGTGCCCCAAATACTGCAGATGGACCCGGATCTGGTGCGTGCGGCCGGTACGTGGCAGACACTTCACCACGCTGGTCTTGCCGTTGTAGCTGAGTCTCTGGAAGATGGTTTTGCAGAACTTCCCTTTGGGGTCCACGCGGCACACTCCCACTTTGTAAGAAACCACCAGGATGGGCTCCTCACAGACCACCTCGTGTTCGGGGAACTCCCCCACCACACGACAGACATACTCCTTCTCCAGCTACAGGGGGACACAACCGTAACGCTCAGAAAACAACAGAAAACTGTCCCTGGACTGATTACCCCCCCAGTCCCACCCCCTCCTCTTCTTCTTGTCAATGAAATACACTTGTAGGCAACATACAGCCCAAATTTTACTACAGGTGAACAGGAAAGGGAAAAAAAACCACAACCAGCCATTTAAAGCCAAATTTCTCTTGTGCTTTCCCCAAATAGTCAGGAAATCAAGAACCCAAGGGCCTGGCCTGTTTTCCTCCTAGGAAATTCAAGAGCCAGCCCTCAGTGACCGTCAGTTTACGGCCTCCAAGCAGATCCTGGAAGGCAGCACCCAACAGCTACAGCTCTGCCTGCGTCAAGAGCCACCGGAAAAATGAGAAAAACCTCCAAAACTTTTAAAACTGAAGTAGTATTAGAAGACTGACACATTTGCACTCACAAATACAACCAGCCATTTAAAGCCAAATTTCTCTTGTGCTTTCCCCAAATAGTCAGGAAATCAAGAACCCAAGGGCCTGGCCTGTTTTCCTCCTAGTAATTCAAGAGCCAGCTCTCAGTGACCGTCAGTTTATGGCCTCCAAGCAGATCCTGGAAGGCAGCACCCAACAGCTACAGCTCTGCCTGCGTCAAAAGCCACCGGAAAAATGAGAAAAACTTCCAAAACTTTTAAAACTAAAGTAGTATTAGAAGACTGACACATTTGCACTCACAAATAAAACTGCTCTCTAACCAGTTTGCACAACCCCAGTCAGTTTGTACAGTCCCTTGGGGAAGGAGATTCCTTTTGATCTAATATTACCAAAATCAATTCATTTTTTAGCCAGTCTTTCTCTTGATGCCTCTCACACTTAATGCAATAAGAACAGGAAGATGACCACAAGCTGTTTCGGGAACTTGTGCTCATTCAGACCAAAAATTTGGCTGACTTTGGACCTGTTTCAGGAAAATAGCATGCAGGAGACCTCCAAATCCCACAGCTCTCACCTGCCTCTCCCGAACCTGCTCATCGATCCTCTTGGACACCTCTGCCGTCTTGGCAAACATCAGGACCCCCGAGGTCATGCGGTCGAGGCGGTGAATGGTGTGCAGCTCCTTCAGATCATGCTCTTTGCCCAGGATGAAGATGACCGTGTTGTGACGGAACCTGCCGCAGGGATGTACCGGCAAAGAGGAGGGTTTGTCCACAACCACCACCTCATCGTCCTCCACCAGGATCTGGATGGGCTGGGCAGTGACCGGCGGCTCGTGGCGATGCACCGTGTTCCTCAGAAAATCGTTATTCTGTAAGACACAGGGAAAATTAGTGTGAATCCAGCTCGTGTAACCACCCCTTCTGGCCACACACCACGGGGGCTTGACACCGGGCGTGACGTAACGGGGCGGGGCGGCCAATCGCCGCGAGGCCACGCCCCCTCCCGGCCCTCGCCTCCCCCCGCCCCCAGAGCCGGCGCGGGAGAGGAGCGCGCGCGGACCCCTCTTTGAGGGGAAAAAACAACAAAAAAAAAATAGTAAAAAAAAAATCCGTTTCTAAGCATGCCTTTAATAATCAGCCTAAATATGACGTCACTGAGAAATTTTTGTTGGGCTCAAAGCGGCTGAGCAGCTCCCAAGGACACAGCTCTCGCTGCTGGGAGCTTCATTCTGTTCTCTTGGGGGAAAAAAGAAGAAAAAAACAAGAGAAAAGCCCACGGAACCGTAGAGCCGCGGGGGAAAGTCTGGGGAAACGGTGATTGAAGGGGAAGAAGGCTCCAGGGAGACCTTGGAGCCCCTTCCAGTCCCTCAAGGGGCTCCAGGAAAGCTGGGGAGGGACTCTGGATGAGGGAGGGGAGCACCAGGAGGAGAAGGAACAGTTTTAAACCAAAAATTAGGAGATGGAAATGAGATTTTGGGAGGAAATTCTTCCCCCTGAGGGTGGTGAGAGCCTGGCCCAGGTTGCCCTTCCCCGAGAGGTGGAAGATGCCCCATCCCTGGAAACATTCCAGGCCAGGCTGGAGGGGGCTTGGAGCACCCAGCTCCGGTGGGAGGTGTCCCTGCCTTTAGAGGTCCCTTCCCACCCAAACCGCTCTCTGAAACGCCGCCCGGCCCCCGCAGCCCCCAGCCCCGGGGGGCGCCCACCTTCAGCACGATGTCCAGGTCCCGCACCGGCTCCTCGTTGAGGCGGAGGCGGCCGGCGCGGGCGGCGGCCCGGTAGTAGGCGAGGGGCTGAGCGCGGAACTCGGTGCTGAAGACGTGGAGGAGGCTGCGGCCCACCCAGCGCCCCTTGCAGTAGGTGCGGAAGTCGAAGTAGTAGGGGCGCACCTTGCGCAGCCCCCCCTCGAAGTAGTAGGAGGTCTCGGCGAAGTGCGCGGGGCCGAAGCT